TGTCAGTGTCCTTTTAAGTTTACGGAGCTAAGCCGTAGTGAGCTCGAAAACTTCAAGCGCTCATCCCAGTGCGCCACTAAGAGGGCAGTTTCTACAGGAACCGCAGAGTATTTAAACAGCAAAACAAACTATAGCTTTTTTTTTTTTTTGTCAATTTTACCTACCGTTCTTAAAAATGATAAAATTCCAAACTGTAAATATACGTACTTTTGGTCATATTTCCGTACTGTTCACTCCTTTCCCCAGAACGCAATCGCTCTCGGGGTTGAGACAACAGGACATCGCAGTCGACAGTCACATTGACCACTGCACGATAGGAGCTACGGTTCAGACCAGCGTTCCAACATGACTATCCCCAGGTCTACCGATTGCGCCGCAATCCCTCAAGCGGTCTTAAACTCTTTAATGTAAAGCGGAATGTGAGCCTGCGACACCTTGCTCCCTCCAATCACGGCCCGACCAGCGGCATCAATGCCCGACAGTTTACGTCATCTCATCTTGTTGTTACACCACTGACACGCGAACACACGGTCACATCGGCGATAATTACAGTCTTCTGTTCACAACCCACAACACTGCCATCACGATGTTGCTGCTATGTTGCTGACACGCAGAAGTACAAAACCACGTTCATTATAGCTAGGGTTCCGCGTTTTCGGTTTCTATTTTTCAAAATTCGGCGTACTTTTTTCGGCGTTTATTTTAAAATTATTTTTCGGTTTTTATCGGCGTATATTTATGTTCACAAAGGTTTATCGGCTTTTTTCGGTGAATATAAAATAAACGCCAACGGACACTGGATCAGATCATCCTTGTAGCTCTTATATGTGATCACTCAAAGAATAACAGCATAGATGAATTGGAAAAAAAATCGGCACTTTATTTGGCAAATGTGTGCAACTCTAAAACAAACAAAAAAACACAGACTTACAAACAAGTCAGATATGAAGCCTATGCCCATAAAACATGGAACTTTACCTTCTGTAGATCAGGATTACGTGATAGTACACACAGACACGTACTTTCCCAGGTTCTCCTCGTTGATCCGCACTCTTTCCTTCCTGTTAATATGACCCTGAACCAAAATCGGCCAATCAACCAATTGTGTCCGCCGAAAGAGACACGCGGTGCGACGTTTTGAAGCACAACACAACACGTAGAGCTTGCATCAAGTCAGTTTTCCTTACAACGAGTATGAAAACACGCTCGTACATAGCGAAGTCATGGGGCATTTCGGATTTCACGTTCCAATCGATGATGCGCATATTAAATCAAAACGTCGTGATGGCATCCGTGTATCCGATACATTCGGACACGTTTCGATAGACACTATTCCACTTTTTCGCCACGGCTCTCCGGTACGACTAAAAGGTCAAAGTGACCTTTAAAACTTAAAAATGAATTTTAGAAAATGCATTCGACATACATTTATCGGTTTTTATCGATTTAAACGGAAAATGCCTAATCTAAAAACTGACATTTTTCGGTTAAAACCGAATTTCCGAAAACGGATTCGGCATACTTTTATCGGTTTTTATCGGTTTAAACCGAAAACTCCGAACCCTAATTATAGCACCGTCAGGTCTACTTCCAAAATTTAACCAGTGGGTGAACGCAATCGCTCTCGGATTTGAGACAACAGGACATCGGTGAAATACAGAACGGCGTTGATTTGCCTATTTCCTATTGGCTGAGAGTTGCATGGTCGAACAGCAGTATCGGAATACATGTTTTATGTAATGCAAACTTTTCTAGCCGTATAGCACTTCTGCTGTCACCATGGAGGTTATTCGTACTAATAAGGGAAAGGCGAAGGTTCTGCTTGACGGTTAGGATTGTGTACAAAAGCAGTCAGAAAATGGGTTGATCTGATGGCAGTGTCGAGCGCAGCGAAAAGGCGGATGCAAAAGAGCAATGGCTACGGGGTAGTCATTGCTCTGTGAGCATAACAATCCTGTGAGTATAACAATCTTTGTTTTCGCCTGCATTTATTACCTATGGGCTATGGGTGCATTTGTATGTTTGTGATGCATGCTGGTGTGATATTCTGTACTAACCACAATGTATTTTAGCCACTTATGTTATTAAAAAAAGGTTTTGAATTTTATTTGTGATGAGAAAATAGCTTTGTGAATGTGCGTAAAAACTAAATTTTTCAAGTTTTCTAATTACAAAAATAAATGTTGTCAATAAATGAAGAAAAAAACAATCTACATGTACACTGTCAAGCAATTTAGCATATCTTAAGTGTTCAATGGGAAACGGGTGTTCTGCCTTTATGAGAGCTATCATGAATTTTATTATAGACCGTTCCACTAGGAAGAGCGGAGAGAGAAAAATTCTCTCCCCCTCTCACCTGGTGAGTCGTCTGCTCCGCCCGAGTGGGCTGTATCCAACATCCGGCTGACGTTCAAACTCGCTTTAAAATCACGTCATTTTGGAAATTTCAAGCGCAGATGTGCGTTTTTTTTATATACAAGTTATAGTCTAATGCGATGCTCAATGAAAAGACTAACCGAGTCTAACTGCGATGTTACCTGTGTGTGAAAAAAAAAAAAAGAAACTGTGTCAAAGTGGCCGGTCGTTCCGGCAAAAAGTAAATCCGGTTGCAGTAGGTATTTTACTACACGAAGTTCGTACTGGTGTAGGCCTTTAGCGACAATGAGTGGAAGTCTGGAATAGTAAATAAAAACGTGCTCTTTCGACGCAGAGGTTGAGGTGCCGGCTGACTCCACTGCTATTGAAGTAACGGAACAAAGATACGCTAGTTGATCATTTACTGAAACTTTGGAGTAGCCATTAATATTCTAAGAGCGCGACCCATTTCATAGCGGCAGCCACGAGCGAGAGTTCGATGTTCGATACAGCGGATACAGTCCAAAAATGGAAAGCGGCAACCTCCCGGTTTGTCGTCTGCTAGCAGAGTCAGGCGCGTGCCCTCTCTCTCGTTTTACCCCGCCGAACCGCCGAACCGTGGAGAGGGCGCTGCGGTCTAACAAAATGGCGCCGCCCTGAGAGGGCTAAGTGGAATGGTCTATACTACGTATGTACTTGTAGAGAAAAATATACATTGTCAGCCGGTATCTTTGGGTACACATTCCAAAAGTTTCTTATATTAGGAAGTTTTCAACTTTACTTTTCTGTCCAAAGTAAGCAGTGTCATCATATACCCGTGTTAATATACCACTTGGTATTGCAGATCACTCGCTTCTGGTCGGTGGCTGAGCATGCACAACCACGCCAACGCCGCCAATGGTACTAAGGTGACGAAGTTACGAAAAACACAAGAAACGTCAGAACCTCCAAGCAAGCTCTTGGATCAAGCACTAAGCAATGCGTCGACAGCTGTGCGCGAGAACACGGGGAAGCTGGAGACGGTGCGTCGGTGCCCTGAGCAAGCAAAGAAGCCGGCTGCGCCCAACGGAGTCACAGTCCACCATAGAGCTCCAGGTCGCAGACATCCGGGCACAGTGGTGCAGCCAGGATTTTTTTTCGGGGGAGGCCCTGAACCCCCTTCCCCGTTCAGTGGCATGAATTCACCCCCCCCCCCCCCCCCAATGACGAAGCAAGGCATAGACGTAGACTACGGGGGGGGGGGGGGGCATCGGGGCTCGTGCCCCCCCCCCCCCCCCGGGACATGATCCTTGCCGAGAGGCTGTTTACGTGCCATGTAACGAGCTTCTAGTAATGGCATGTAAACAAAATAACGCACACAGCGACGGACACATGGCGATATACATACGCTGTAAAATGTACCCCCTAAAATAAACTACTGATGATTGCCGATGTGAAAAAAATTGCGCGGAAAAGCACTCCCCCTCCCCCGGAAAACTTCTCAGGCTGCCCCCCCCCCCCCCCCCTTCTCCCCCCGGGAAAATGGAAAGTCTACGCCGCTAAAGCACGGTGACCTCGGCGGCACGGACGCCCACGCAAACGATTAGCGAGGCGCTGTTAAGATAAAACGGGTAAAGCTGCATTGTCATTTTTCAAAACGGAGCAGGCTTCATTTACAGGAATACGACCGTGTTGGCTTACTGTTCTATTGTCTTCGTAGTTGCGGCCTACCAATTTTAAAAGCTTCCTCACAGCACACAACTCCCACCGCTTTTTGAGGTAGCACTGCATTATCAACGCGTGAAGGCCAGACAAAACACGAGGACAGCTATAGACCAGTGTCTGCTCTGTTCCATGTGCGCCGCCATGTTTGTTTATGCTGACGCAATGACAGGGTAAAAAAGAAGGGGGGGGGGGGGCTCGCTTTTTTCGAGACTCCGTTTTTTTTTTAGAAACCTTCGCACATATTATAGTGCACGAAGTCCGGAAAGGCATAGTCACGAAGCTCTAGTAACAACACCAATGCCAAGAATGTTGTAAAGGGCAAAAACTTTGTTTTACGCGCAGCCCCTCTCTTCACAAGAGCCTGCACTTGAGATTATTATTTCGCATTTTTATCGCAGGGGGCCAGGATTTCGGACAGTGGTCTATAGGCAACCTGCAAGGCTGTTTGGTTTGGCGTTATCTAGCGACTGAAGCAAGGAACATGGCAGCTGCATTGTTCAAACGTGAGCTATTACTCTGGTGGCGCCGCCATACCTAGTGTCTGAAGCAAGAAATACTGGGTAGGTCAGGAAGCCGTGATCGCATAACATGCAAGTACGGCGGAAGCTGCGGCCTGGAGGTCCAACCGAAACGTGACTACGTACCACCGCAGTGCGCTTTTATTGCGAAGAAGTATCAGGCTTTTCGCTGCGCCATGCGTTGCGCTCGTAGACGTAGCGGATATCAAAGCCGTCGGCACG